AAGGTTAACTATCCGTGACTTTGTTCCCTCGGCATCGCTGGATTCAGTGTGTGTTCGCTCGATTTCATCGAACGTACTTTTATAGCTTTGCCCGGTTACGTACGTCGAAGGACAAAGCTGTGATTCGATTATGCACTCTCACAATCGGAGATACGAGATTTGTTGAACAGAGAGTACGAAGTTGATCAGGGTGTTTGAAATCGTACCGATGGCTGGTGATTTATTTTACTTGAACGTTGCATCGTTCGTCATTTTCTTTGTTCGATTTATGTTAGTGAAATTTGGTTCTTCGACGTTATGGCTGTGTTCGGGAATTTATATGCTGGATAAGATTTAATACTATGCTTTTCTTCTTAATAGATTAATAAAGCTGATCCTATTATTGCACAAAAATCATTTTGAAATAATAGTTCGAAATTCCAATTAGGAATTAATTTTCCTATTTGAGAAACACTTTGTGATCTGACAAACGACTTATGTAATTTCCTTTCCACATTTATTTAAGCGAGTTGATTAAACGATGAATTTTGATCGAAGAAACTCTCGTTGTAATATCTAGCAATTTGATCGTGAAATACAAATGAATTGGGTATACCTCTACAACGTATAATTATATTTTATTGCATTTGTATTTCGTACTTAATTTAATATTTCGCCATACGTCAATATTCTTACATATTTCTTGGCTATACAATACAATTATTGACGAGTTTGTTTTCTACACACAATGTGCTAAAGTATTCACTATTGATATTAAAAGTGTAGTATATTCAAACTTAATGAGGTAGAAAGTAAATTGGTAATACTTCTAAATTTCTAGATAACAAACGATCCTGCCGAAATCAACATCTACTTACTCGATGGTTCGTTAATTGACGAGGAAGAGTATTTTTCCACGTTGAAGCCTCAGACGACGCTAATCCTTCAGAAACCTGGCGAGAAAGTGTTAACCGGTTAGTGTTGTCAATTTTAATTAATTAATTACAATTGTCTGTACGACGTCCGTAAGGAACGTTGTACTCACCAATGACAAAACATTTCCATATGACAAAGGAATGTTACATAACATAAGAATAACTGGACAATATTTACTGGCAAATATCAAGCTCTCGATCAAATCGATTTGCGTTTTGCTCATTTAATAGATTAATGCATTTAATTTTTATAAAAAAAAAAGTGTATTTTTCATTCTGGCAAACACTTTTCAATCAAACGCAAGTGTTTGAAAATATTCGAAAACATTGAAACCTTGGAGGTACGAATGCTACTACGCATTTGTTTAAATTATACAAGAAAATAAAATCAATGATTTCAATTTATTTATTATCATTGTAATTCACGCAAGATTTCAATGCATTTGAATACTTTGATCGAGAACTTTTTGTCGGATTAATCATTAAAAAGTACATCGTCCATCACGTAACATCGTCGTTTCATAGGCAAAGCGTGTAAATTTCACGTGACAGTCAACGTGTTAACTGGTTGTTCATAGTTTTCGACACTAGAATAGGCCAAGTTGAATAGAGACACGTTGTTTCGAACGCAGATCGCGAGATCCTTTCTTTGCTTGCAGACGCGGACCTTCTGTATGACACCTTGAGGCGTGTTAACATCGATTTTCTGATTGCCGGCGAGAAAGCGTCCGAGTTCCTCACGGAAAACCTTAAAGCGAAGGTCGCTGTTCTAAATAACGCTTTGAACAAAGATGATTCGAAAACAGCGTTCAGCAGCAGGGACGAACATCCGGAGTGGTTTCATGGATTGGAAACTAACTGTGCGACCAAAGTAAGTCTTCCGTCTCTGGAAAAATATTTTTATGCTCTGCTCACTTTCAAAGGGTTTTTCTTTTTTCTTTTTTTTTTTTTTTTTTCTTTTATGACGTATTTTCTTCTCACCACGGCTATAAATATTCACAAAGAAAAAACGGGTTCTCCTTGCAAGGTGACGAGTTTAAGATTTTATCTACACCCAGATTGTTTGATCAGTGAAGAATTTCTGGTCTTCAAATGTGAGATTTCCATAATTTTTCTGTCGACAGAATCGCGGATGAAATTTCAAATATCTTGTGCGGGTACTAATATTGAAACTATCGAGTCGAATTGTTGGAAATATTGAAATTAGCAGGATAAAATGTTATGAAATATCAATTAACAGACTGAAAATATTTTTAAAGATACAGAACTGCACTTGTTAAGTTTACTGTTACTTTAATTCTTCAAATTTACTTATTAATTTAATTTGATCTAATTTAATTCAATTCACTAATTTACTTCGCCGTTAATTTACTACTGTCATTCACAATTTAGTATTTCGAATACAAAGTATTTCGAATTTAATTCGTGAAATTTACGCGTTGGTGTAGTTAGATATGAAAATAAAAGATAGAAAAATCGATACAAAGCCATCCTACGCATTTCCTTCGAGAAACTTTTTCCCATAGATACCATTCGGGTCGTGATCAACGATAAGTCACCCTTCGAACGTACAATAAGTCGGTCTAGGTCGACGCTTAATGTAATAGAACGAGGAGTTTATCTTTTGTTCGATATCGTTCGAGTTAATTAACGTCACAGCGCTTTCATTCTTCGCGGATTGTTATTTATCGCGGGATTTCTCTACGAAATCTTACTATCGTCGATCCAATGACTGCACTAAATAATTAATTAGTCTTAACTTTCTATTCGTTCATAGTGAACAGACTTCTGCATCGCGCTTGTTTCGATCGCATAATTTATTCGTAAGGAATAATACCAGATTACGTGGGGAAATAATAAATTTTGGCTGCAAAGCTTGACGTCGATATTACGGAATTCCTGTACCTCGCAAATCCCACACCTAATCTTCGCCCATGTCAATATATCTATCCTGCCAGGATCGAATCTACGGCGCAGATTTCCTAGATAGCTTTACCGATGAAACAAGCCTCTTTCTCTCCGTGATTTTTGTTTTTATCACACCTCGTTTCTCTTGATTACGACTGATTAATCTTTTTGTTATATCGTTGCACGGGCGCGCGAGTAGATTATCATCATAGAAATCGTCTTTGTTGATCATTAGGCCAGGGACATCTACAAAAATTTATAGTTTTCTGAATGTAGTTTAAAATATAAGACTTGGGTAAAAGATTATCGTGATAAAATATTATAATTGGATTATATATTAAATATTATAACTAGGTTTATGGATCTGCGGGAAAGTTGAAGATATAAAAATGGATAAGATGGCTCGAACATGCAAATACGTATAAAATGCAAAGGCGTGCTACTTTTATATTCGTTGTAACCACGCCGAGAATTTTTATGCATTTTCTTTCTTTTTTGTATAATATTTTTTCATGAATATTATAGAAATTCGTTTCGTCTACTGAATATTGTAATAAATACTCTGCACTGGATACTTTATATACTTCTACATATTTCTGCATACGTAACTTTGCAAATTTTCCATAAATATCCACAAAATATCCACGGTCTACTTACAATGACTTGGTAAGCGAAACAAACTTCTCGGCCAAGATTTCTTTCTCGCGTTCACGAAAGTCCGAATTTGCATAAAAAACTACGTTTCAAATAGACCGCTTGCATTCCATTGCATTCTTCAAAATATCGCACGGATGCACGAAAAATCCACAATCTGTCGATTGTTCGCCGAATGCATTTGCATTTGATTAATGCGATACGAAGATGGTAAATCGCGAACTGGATTGATCGAAATTAGCTTGGACGAACGATCCATTGTTCGTTATGATAAACAATAACGAACGATGCTATTGCCGATTTACTGAAAACAATGGCACCGCTCCGTTTTGATTATAGAACACATTACATTCACAATACGGCAATATCGGCGTATACTGACCCATTTTGATTTGCCACGGCGAGACTTGTTGCCATTTACGGCGCAGAAGTCCCTCTCAATACCGGGATACAAGCTTTTCCAGTCTGTTGGAAAACGCGCGCCATGTTATTCGATTAATCCTTTCGTTGCCACATACATATGCGAGATACATATCTCGTGTAGAGTAACAGTACTTATATATTTACAGACACACACGTATTTTTAGTGTTTTACAATTGAACGTTGTTCATCGAAAGCTTTGAGATATTTCGTTCCACATCGGTCTCAAATTGGTTAGTTGTTCCTGCGAAGCAATTTCGCGCGTGTAATAATCACGCAGAGATTGGAAAACCAAGTTATTAAGTTTTCTCAGTGTGATCGTTGCAAAAACGGAATGCGTCAACGCTAGCATACGTAGAGTGTACGAAATTACAATTTTCGGTTCTCTAAACGAAAGTTATTACGACGATTCGATTAACGCAATTTGTATCAATTCATGTTTCATAACGATATTATATTTTTTTAACGCACGTGTGTAGTATCTTCTTTACAGAATGCAAATTATTAAAATTGTCGAGAGATAATTAATATTCAATCGAGAACGTGTATAAATTCAACGAAACGAAATTAATCGTTTTTACAGGAAGCTTACCTGCATCGTAGATGCCAAGACAGAATACGGGGCTATCTGTACAAAACGATCGAGCAGATCAGATCGTCGGACGTGTTCACGAAGGATCCACGAGCCAGGAAGCAACTGTTATACGCCATAGCCTTCTTCAAGATGCAGCTGAAAGAGGATCACTATTTTGGCTACTATTTCGATAGGAGTCGAGCAAAGATCGAAGCGTTGGAGGGTGCTGATCAGCTCGATTCGTCGGCCTGTTACGATCATTGTCCTTGTAGGTTGAAATGGTTCGACGATAGTACGTACTTCAGATTGTTTGGCACGATGGAGCAATCCGACGATGTCGACGGCGTGAAGAAGAGGAACGAGAGGAACTCGTCGGCGGACACAAAGACTGAGGAGGAGGAGGCAGAGGAGAACTGTCCTTACAAGATTAGAAAGATAGAGAAGAAAATGTGTATCGCGTTGTGCAATCAAACGGGCGAGTTTAGATGTCATGGAATGTGGAACGAGGATAAATGTTCTTACGGGACACACAAGATCAATCCCTATCGGTCGAAGGAAGAGCTTGTTTTATTCTCCACGTGGAACTTTGATCATAAGTAAGTCGTATTTGCAATTTTCAAGGTTTCGGAGCATCCTGTCAATTTTAGATAAAGTCGTATTCTTTATCGATATGGATATTTAACTGACTATTAAAAGCTGCTGCAGCCCCATTTAATTTCAAACTAATAATTGTCTTATATCTCGTTTCGAAGCTTTCAGCATCTCACAGTTTCTATCATTTTCTTATCTTTAAAATCTATTTTTTACTTTTATCTGTAAAATGTATTTCTATCTACCAATGAAGTATGAATTTCAACTAATAAACTAAAACTGAAAGATTAAAGACAAAACTACACAAGATTGTTCCTTTCTTGAATATAAAATTGATGGATGCTCCAAACTTGGTATCGTATGTACATATTGCACTGTAATATTTACTATAGGGAATGAACCGAAAACCATGATTCAGTTGTTTCATTATCATAAAAAACTTGGATTCCATCATGGTATTCGGGCGACTTGAGTTAATGTGAGCTATTTGATTTGTGAGAATCACTGTGCATGATTTTCAGGATTGAAAGGTCCAGGACTCTAATTCCATTACTGCTGAAACTAGCGTCCAAAGGAACCGCCAACGAGGCAGATCTCATCGAAATTTACGACAATCTGTTCACGATAAAGAACTTGAGACTGGTTCACATCATATGCCATGATAAGAGCTCGCACAAATAATTAGCCATTATCACTTGGAAGGGTTAACAAAAATTTCAACGATGCGGCAAGAGATAAGAAAGAAGAAGAAGAAAAAAGAAAACGTTAAGATACGTAACACGTAGAAGTAACCTTTGAATGTAAATGTAATAACTCTTCGTATGAAACGTACTTACTTGTAAATTGCTGTTGATAGATGATTTAAAACTTCAAAGTTTATCATTTGTTATACACGATTTCGATTCCGTTGCGCCACATAGCAACAAAGCAATACCGATCGCGAGATCGAGCAACCTTCTTCTTTCTATGGTAGATTAAGATCAAATTTTGCTACACTGCAATTTTCCATTATCTACCATGAAATACTATGCACGGCTAAATCTGTTCGATAAAGATATATCTGAAAGTGACTGAAAATGAGAATTTACGATGGAAATCTTGCGCACAATTTCTGTCTCGATCGGTAAATCAGAGATCGTTGATAATTTGAATATAACTATACTCCCAGGAGAGTAACAGATCAAAGTGATTAAACTGCGAATTTTTATGCATGGAAAATTGTAATGCATGATAAATATGTAAAAATGTCGAGAATGCACATAGTATGCAAAGATATATAAAATAATTAGTAAAATACAATAGATTATTATAAATAAAACAAAGAGGGGTGTTAAAAATAGTACGACATTTGTACCCCTTTGGACATCTTTGAAAGTTTTAACACGTCATCATTCTATAAATTGTAAACTTTCGTAAACGTACAATTATTTATGGCAAATGTGATGGGAAAGTTAGAAAAAAATGTAGATGAAGTTACCCCGAAAACCGAATTGAAATGATCATTTAAATGATCATAATTTTGAAATGAATGCATGAAATGTAAAAATTCGAACGCTGTTTTACAAATGGAACTCGATATTTACAGCGTATAAAATTGTTAATTGTTAAACAGTAAAATAAGAAAAATAAGAAAATATTAAAGGATAAGATACTAAGATATTCCATGAAATACGTTTGTTATTATATTTCATCCATATAAATCACGTTTCTTCTTGAGATGATGAGTTTTCCAATAAAATCAACAATAAAATATGCGAGTGATTCGCCATCATGTAGCCTGAAGCGTTTATAGGCGAGTTTATCGTTAATATTGATTTTATTGCACGATTCTCTCAAAGAGAAATGCGATATTTATGGATGAAATATATTCAATATATTTCATTTTACTTCAAGATTAAATTATAGTATAATAACGAGCGTATTTTGCGGAATATTTGCAATATCTTATCTTAATACATTGTCATCAGTTAATAATTTTCAGTCAATACGTTTTTACACGTTATAAATTCCATTCATAAAACAGCATTTGAATTTTTATATGCAATTCATTTCAAAATTATTTGTAGTCAGAAAGTTTTAATTCGCTTCTCCGAGTATCATTAACTTAATTTACATTTTCTGTAACTTTCCCATCACATTTATCATAAATAATTGTGTCTTATAGAATGATGCCGCGTTAAAATTTTTGGAGCTGCCCGAAGGGCTATGAATTTCACATTTCTTTGATTCATTTCATTCTCTTTTCTGTTTCGATTACATTTCTTTCGCCGAAATTCAAAGACGTATAAAAATTCGCAGTTTAGAAACTGAAATGAAATTAGCGCACCGTTCGCTGTGACAACTTTTTTATCACATTTTTAAGACGTCTTTAACGTATCCTAACGACTACTGTAAACTTTCTATCGACATTTTTGCAGAACAAGTGCCACGGAACGACGTCTCCCCTTCTTCAGCACTGAATCTGAGTTCCCAATCATCTCGGGAACATCTCAATATATCATACAGGGTTGGGCGCAACGGAATGATTGTTGATTAAAAAGAATTTATCGAAAACGAATCGAAGAGATTCGTCAGAAGGATTGTTAATTATCTTGTTGAAAGTGTGACAAAGGGACTGTTTGAAGATGACCTGACTTTAGGATGGCTTTAAAACTTATCTTAAAAAAAAAAAAAAAAAAAAAAAGGAAAAAAAA